ATAGGGTGTGTGCACTCGCCAGACAGACAGAGACAGAGAGACAGAAAGCAAGAAATCACCCCCCAGGGGAGATGGTCATGCCGCAATCCCCTCTTCTCCATTCTCCTCTCGAGATCTTGGGCATGCACGCACACACACCCGGCGTGAATTTTAAGCCACCAGGTCCGGGACGCGAACTGCGGTCAACTACGTGGGAGTCCAGCAACATAGCCATTACGCTAACTGCTGGTTCCCCAAGTCTATGGTTTGAGTCCAGGTCCAGTGGCTTGAGAAAAATGCTGGGCACATGTGCCTACATGTCCAAAATCTGAGAGAATGGAAAAGGGATTGCAACACGGCCATCTCCCCTAGGGGGGAGAAGGTAATTTCTCATTTTCTCTCTGTCTCTCTCCAGTGAGCACATGTGCCCTATGGCAAAAATCCAGAAAACAAATAAATAAACAAAATCTTGCCTTTCCTATCAAAATGATTGGGTATTTTCTAAAATCAACTAGAAAAAAATATATACACATATATAAGTATTTTTGGACCATCTTCTAGTCCACTGATCTGTCTGTATGTTAATACCACACTGCCTTTATTACTGTAACTTTTTTTAAATTTTTTTTCTAGAGGTTTTTGCCATTAGGGCATGTGTGCTCGCCAGAAAGACAGAGAGACAGAAAGCGAGAAGTTACAGGGGGGATGGCCACGCCACAATCCCTTCTCCTCTCGGGATCTTGGGCATGCACGCACACGCACCCGGCGTGAGTTTAAACCACTGGGTCCAGGATTCGAACCAAGGTTGACTACATGGGAGTTCAGCGACATAGCCATTACGCTAATTGCTGGTCCCATTACTGTAACTTTTTACTCATCAAAATCAGCAGGTGGTGTGGACCTTAAATGGCTGGATCCCACGTGGCCAAAAGAGCAGTTTGAGTCCCAGAGCTGGCAGCTTGAAAAACAAACCAGGTACATGTATGTGCATGCCCAAAAGTCCCAAAAGGAGAATGGAGAAGGTATTGTGGCATTGCTATTACCCTTGGGAAAGGATGACTTTGCACTTTCCCCCTTTCTCTCTCTCTCTGGCAAGTGCAGTGACTTACAGAAAAAAAAAAAAAAAAGCAGTCAATAATTTCTTACCACATACCTCAAACCATATACAAAATTAATTTGAGTTGGATCATAAACCTAAAAATTAAAGCTAAACTAAAAGCTTCCAGAAGAAAATGCAGAAAAATATCTTTTTTTGTTAGGCAAAGATTCTTTAAACATGACATAAAAAAGTATTAATCAGAAAAGCAACAAATAATAAACTGGACTTTAACAAAATTAAAACCTTGTGTTTTTCTAAAAACAATATTAAGAAAATGAATATAGGGCAGGACACATAACCTAGGGACTTAAGGAATCAGACCTACGCGACTGACTGCAATTTGAATCCCAGCCCCAGTGACTTGAAAAACACACCAGGCCTGGGAACCAGCAGTTAGTGTAAAGGCTATGTCGCTGGACTCCCACGTAGTCGACCGCGGTTCGCGTCCTGGACCCGGTGGCTTAAAACTCACGCCGGGCCCATGTGCGTGCATGCCCAAGATCCCGGGAGGAGAATGGAGGAGAAGGGATTGCGGTGTGACCATCTTCCCTGGGGGGTGATTTCTCACTTTCTGTCTCTATGTCTCTCTCTGTCTGTCTGGCGAGTGCACGTGCCCTATAGCAAAAATCTCTCAACAAAACAAAACAAAACAAAAAAAAACAAAAACAAAAACAAAACATTCCAGGCCTGGTGCCCCAAATCCTGACAGAATTGAAAAGAGTTTATAGTGTGACCAAGGCCCACTGGAGAGGGAGTGCTTTCTCTCTCTCCTCTCTCTCTGGTGAGTGTACATGACCTCTTGGTGACCAAAAAAAGAAAGAAAACAGACAAATCAGTCTAAAAGAAAAATCTCCAAAATGCATTCATTTTATAAATGACATGTATCCATAATACATAAAGAATTACTGGGAACCAGCAGTTAGCGTAATGGCTATGTCGCTGGACTCCCACGTAGTTGACCGCGGTTCGTGTCCCGAACCCGGTGGCTTAAAACTCACGCCGGGCGCGTGTGCGTGCGTGCCCAAGATCCCGAGAGGAGAATGGAGGAGAAGGGATTGCGGCGTGACCATCCCCCCTGGGGGGTGATTTCTCGCTTTCTGTCTCTATGTCTCTCTCTGTCTGTCTGGCGAGCACACGCGCCCTACAGTGAAAATCTCTCAAAAAAAAAAAAAAAAGAATTACTGTAACTCAATAATAAAAAGACAACACAGTAAAAGACATAGGCCAAAGGCTTGAATAAACCAAACCTAAGAAGATATGAGTGGTGAGAAAGGAATATTAGTTACCAGGAAAATGAAAATGAAAATCATGTGAGATCATAATTTCATACCCAAATAGAATGGCTTTTTAAATTTTGCCAGAGGCCATGTGTACTTGTCCAAGAGACAGGAGTAGGAGTGGAGTAGGGGGTTCAAAATGTACCCCCAAGGTGAATAGTTAGGCCATAATCCCTTCTCCTTCATCTCTCTCTTTTGGGATTTTGAGAGTGCATGATTACGTGGCCCTGTGTTTTTCAGGCCCCTGGGTCTGAAGTGAACTGCACAGTTGGGCATGTGGGAGCCAGCTGCCTTAACTACTATGCAAGGGGGCTGTCCCTAGAATGGCTTCCCCCCCAAAAAAAAATTATTTATTTAATTTGACCAGAGAGAGAAAGAGAGAATGAGAGATGGAACATGCGAAAGCAAGTTGCCAGGTTTGGGGCTTGAACTGCGATTGGCCACGTGGGAGCCTAGAGTCTTAGCCACCACAACACCTAGAATGGCTTTAATTGGAACAATCACCACTAAATTTTGGCAATAATGTGGAATAACTGAACTATCAGTTGTTAGTGCAAATGCAAAATGGTACAGAAGAAAAATTACTCTTGTAATTTCTGCAGAGTGTAAACATTTTAAATAAGCTAACTTACAATAATCAACAGATTTCAATACTTAATTGAGGTGGAACAGCTCAAAGACAAAATGAAATTGAGATGCTCAGAAAAATCTGGTTAACATAAATGAAGAAGGTGGAGTATTATGGAATTGATCATTCAAAGCTCTTTAAAAATAATTACCGACCAGGGCTGGTAGGTGGCATAGTGGTTGTGGTGCTGGTTTCTGACATGGCTGATTGAGGTCTGAGTCCTAGATTCGGCAGCCTGAAGTTCACACTGGTTGCCCATGTGTGCGTGTCCAAAATTCCATGAGAACAGAGAAGGGATTTCTGTGTGGCCACCTTCCTGACAGATGATTTCTTGCTTTCTCTCTCCTTGTCTCTCTGTGTCTCTGGTGAGCAAAAGTGCCCTCTAGATGAAAAAACTCTCTCTCTAAAAATAACAATAATAATAATAATAATAATAATAATAATAATAATAATTACCTGTTTATATTCATTAATACAATTTTGGCAGCAAAATCTCTTCTGCTGACCTCCAATTACCAGGATGCTGCTTCCAGGACTTTTACAGGGCAGGTACTTTCCACATTGTTCACAACAGTTCATTATTAGACCATTAGCCAACCTGTACTCATTGAAGCAATGGTTACTGCAGAGTTTATGTGTTATATTATTAATGCTGACTTCATGGCGAATCTAAAAGAAAAGTCAGAACTTATTAACAAATAGAAATGAACCAGATTTAGATAATAAGATAACTGGTTTCTACAACAGAAACAAAGAGTAACTAATACGTTTTCAGTGGAATAAATGTTCAGAAATGAAAGGACTAAAAAGCACACTTTGGGGGACCAACAGGTAGTGTAGTAGTTAAGACGCTAGACTCCTACATGGTCCACTGCCATTTGAGTCCTGGACCAAGTGGCTTGAAAATCATGCTGGGTACATGTGCATGTATGCCCAAAATCCCAAGAGGAGACTAGAGGAGAAGGGACTGCAGTGTGGCCATGCCCACTGGAGGGTGATTTATCACTTTCTCTCTCTGGTCATTACAGTGCCCTATGGCAAAAACCTCAAAAAAAAAAGAAAGAAAGAAAGAAAGAAAGCAGTACATTTGGGGCTAGCTCTGTAGCCTAGTGGTTAGGAGAACTGGCTCTACATAGCCAACCAGAGTTCCAATCCCAGATCTAGAAGCTTGAGAAACACATGTTTATGCTTGTATGTATGTCCCCAAGTCCTGACAACATAAAGAAATGGAAAAGAAGTGATTGCAGTGTGGCCACACCCCACAGGAGAGGGTGCCTCCCCTTCTTCCCCATGAGGATAAGCATATGTATTCTCTGACAATTAAAAAAATAGAAAGTGGGGCCAGCAGGTGATGTGATGGTTAAGACGCTAGAATCACACATGGTCAACCGTGGTTTGAGTCCCAAATCTGGTAGCTTGAAATTCACACCAGGCACATGTGTGTGCATGCCCCAAATCATAGGGACTGTGGAATCATGGGAAAAATAGAGAAGGGACTGTGGTGTGGCCATCTCTCTTGGCAAGTGATTTTTCACTTTCCATCTCACTGTCTCTCTGTCTCTCTTCAGTGAGCACATGGGCCCTATGGCAAAAATCTAAGAAAAAAAATTAAATTAAGATAAAATAAAATAAAAAGAACGTTTCAGGGGCTGGCAGGTGGCATGGTGATTGGAGATGCTGGGCTCCCACATGGCCAACTACAGTTTGAGTTCTGGACCTGGCGGCTTGCTTTCCTACTTTCCTTCTCTCACTCTCACTCTGTCCCTGTCTGGTCAAATTAAAATAAATAAATAAATAAATAAATAAAGTTAAATAAAATAATTTTTAAAATAAAATAAAAAGCATGCTTCCTTTTTCTTTCATGTTTTTTCTTTTGTAAAATTATTCTTTGTTTTTACAAAAGAGAAAAAATTAAATTCATAGATCAAAAAAGCAATAAAATCAGAATTAACTTCTACAGATATTTATGAATGATAGACATTAACTGGTTTAAGGTTTTGATAAGCCCTGCCTAAAAGAACTGGACTGGGAATACTCAGACAGTACAGTTCATTGCTCGAGAACATTTGGGAAAGGGGCTAAGAAAATAAATTTTGTCCATATTCAGTCGGTGTCTGTATATGCATATGTCAGGTGGTCCTAACTGTGGTAAGTAAGATAAAATCATGCTCTTGGTTTGCACTGGCTCCGAGCTGATATCAAAGCTGCCAAGGACTGTGTAAAGTGGGAACTGCCTATATTCATGATTTTTCTTCTTCTAGCAACTGCAAAGATTGTAATATCAGTTAATTAATTTTAAATGAACAACATACACTCAACTCTACTTGTTTGACATGTTTTTGTACCAGATCTATTGTTTCCTACATGTCCTGAAACCACATTTGTATATAACATTGCTAGTAAGAACAAAATCTACAATAAAACCATTGCTTTTCTATGTGTACAACCAATTCTATAGACACAGATGTATATTTTCCATACTATGTAAACAGGGTATTATTTGTAAGATAGTTCTAACACATCTTTATTCTTCCTTTTAACTTCATGGTGCATACCTACAACATGTGTGTTATATAGATGGCAGGATTTCTTTTCTTTTTTTTTTTTTTTGAGAGGTTTTTGATATACGGTGCGTGTGCTCACCAGAAAGAGAGAGACAAAGAGAAAGAAAGCAAGAAATCATCCCCCAGGGGAGATGGCTACATCACAATCCCTTCTCCTCTAATTCTCCTCTAGGGATCTTGGGCACACATGCACATGCACCCAGAGTGAGTTTAAGCCACTGGGTCTGGGACTCAAACCACGGTTGACTACATGGGAGTCCAGCAACACA